GGCAGCCTTGAAGATGCCACTATTCCCCTCTCCAGCAGGATCCCCATGCAAGAGAGGAGCCCTGACCCACCGCAGGGACCTTGCACCCATGGGTCACATGTTGTATTGCTTTGTATCGGGATGACCAAATCTCTTTTTAGATCCAGTCTCCAATTCCCATCAGAGTGATCTAAATAACCTTGAGTACCTGGGGCTGAGTGATTGACATGACTGAATTCCTGACTTAGTTTTTTAGTTCTGACTTAGTTATGCAGTTCTGAAAATGAGTCACTCACTCAGAAGGCTAAGTAGGAGATGGGGAGTAGCATGTTTTAGTGAGTAATTAGGGGGAAAAAATCACCATACAACCCTGTATTGGCCAGTCAATCAATACTTATTTCACTGGGCATCTTATAAGATGGGCATCTTATCTCCTTTGTCCTCTTTGACCATCTTTGTCTCCTCTTTGATCAGCCCTTAGAGAAAAAGCAAATGATGTCTTCCTCTTCATCAGAGAAGGAATTTTGTACAAATGGTTGTGAAAAAAATAATAACTCATTTTCCGTTTTGCAATTAAAAAAGAAAAAGAAATCAGAATCTTGCTTGGAATACTCTTTTTTCTCTCTCTACTGAAATGTTGCATGGGAAAGCGGTGTGATGCACATAGAAACAGTCTACCTTGTTCCTGATGGACAGTTACACCATGTTCAGTGACCTCTTCTGCAGCTATTTCTTGGATGAAGATGGTTGCTTGGTACTTCCAGGCAAACACAAACAAAAATTCCATAGAGAAACTTCCAATGAAATCATTTTTGACCCAATCCCAAAGGACACTGTTTCCACCCAGGGGAGAGTGGTTTGTCCATGCGTGTGAAATGGATCCTGGCTGTTTATTCAGTGCAAGAGTATTTTCTATAATCCTTTCTGCTGACAAACTCGAAGAGCTTGAGTCACCACAGCATGACATCGAAAGAAATACTCTGTGCTGGGTGAAAGCAATATGTAGACTTATATCGCCATCCACTTCAGATGGACACCTATTTGCTTCCACCTGACATATCTGTTTCTCCTCTTCCCCTATGTGGTGTCCCACATAGCTTCTCTCATTATGGTCTACCTGCCTTTGGCTACACCACAATGTCTCTGCTGTAGCTTATGCTACAAGCACCCTTATTGCCCTTAGAAAGAGCCCAGCCCTGGATCAGATGTCTGCCTTGCAGGACTGGCTGCCTCGTCTGATCCTACCTTGGTCCATTTGGCCCAAGTTGCATGACCAAGGACTGAGAGTGCAGAGCATGCATGGGTCACCCTCTTCCAGAAAACTTTGAAGCTGGGACTGAGTCTGTGCCTGAAGAGTGCTTTCATGCAAACAACGCAGATGGGAGGCAAATCTGGAGAGGAAAGCAGGCTCAAGTCTGCACTTAATGGCCAGTGTAAACATCCCCCTGAAATCTCTTTGCAGAACCAGCCTCAAATGTCTCTCTGCTATTCCCCATTCCCCTTTTACCACCCAACCTCCTGACCTTGCAAGCATGTCTCATAGGGGTCAGAGCTTGGGCCTGGAGCAGACGCTGAAGTCTGGGATCAGGGGTGGGTGGCCTGAGGGCTGGACAGTGCAACATTCCTGTATAGAGTCTCTGGTTAAGATAAAGGGGCTGCATGCTGTGATTTACTCCAAGAAAGCTGAGATACAATGTGACCTATATGTTCCCTGGCAGATTAGCCAAGAAAAATCCTGCAGCATAAAAATCCTTCGATGTGTCAATAACGGTTCGCTGAGAAAAACAGCTAATTATATATTACCAATATGTAATTATATTACATATAATAATATATATAGTGCTGGTCTGGACCACAAGCCATTGCTCAAAGCCTCCAAGCCCAAATGCACTGAAATGTACCAGGGGCTGAGCTAGTTTGTTTCTGCTTCAGTCAACCCTGGGCCAAATCCTACCAGGTCTGCAGCCTCCTCATGGATGGACTTCGGTAGCACAGGTGAGGAAAAGAGCTGCAGCGCGTCCAAGTTAGAAGAACTCATGCGAGCTGCTGAGTGTCCCTGCTCAAGGCCTGGCAAGGGTCAGGAGTTTTAAAATGAATTGAGCTCTGGGCTGGAATTCCTTAAATCCAGCCTTTTTACCAATTTTCTAATATCAGTATCAGGGCTACATGAGCTAGACAGATTCCAGGGTGAGCACCTTCCCTGCCATTGCCCAGGGCAGGGCAGCAAATCTGGGCCCTGCACCCAGTTAGATACAGCAGCAGAAGGAAATGATCAGCAGTGAGCTGACTCCAGGCCACCGCTGTTTGTTGGCTGGTCCATAGCCATAGCGATAGTATTTTAAATGGCGTAACACTTCCACAAAACAGCTGACTAGAAAAGAGGGCAAGTTTTCCCAATCCAGAGGCCAAGAGGCACAAAAAGATAACGCAGCCAGAGTCTGTATGACCTCTCCAGGGAGAATTTCTTTGAGCAACCTGGCAAAAGGATGGTGTATGAGGTCCCCCCAGCCTGGCCTGCTCACCTCCTTCAGCTTCCCTAATCTCTAGCATTCCCACTGCGCTGCACCCACAGGGCTGGCCCTGGGGTGCCGGGAAAGGAGAGCACCTGCCATAGTGACACCCCATCCTCCCCAGTGGTCTCTCTGGAGGGAGACTTTCAGGAAGACGATCCCAGCCCCATACCACATCCCTGCCGGAGTGCAAATCTGAAGAATGTAACACTGAGGCTCACAGCTAAGAGATGTTAGAGATATCAATTCGTAGGCATGGTTGGCAGAGCTGTGAAGGCAGCTTTGGACTGTGCATGATTTGACGACGTTTGCCATAACGGAGAGATGAGTGGTGCACACATTTGCAGAAACAGCCGTTCTTGCAGTAAAGGCGTTGCCACAGTTAACGCTCCACCTCCGATCTCTCTGCAGCTGCGATGCAGGTCCCTGAGACACCCAGTCCAGGTGTCACCAGCCCCAGTGAGAATTTGGAGCTAGCACTTAAACGAATGTGACTGGTTTTTCCTGAATCCCTCTGGCTTGGAACCAGTCTATGGCTCAAGAGCGTTGTCAAGGAAATGCTTTTCCAGCACCACTGAGTGATTGCTGAGAAATAGGTTCAAGGAGAGATGAGTCTAGATTAGTCTGAGTTATGACTCCGCATTTAAGGTCATACCGAGAATGTGACATCAAAACCGGGACTGAATTCTTTTAATATATAATAAACCTTCATCAAGCACAACAGATGACTTTGGAATTTGAGCACTTACTTCTTTTTCCCATATATTTTGTTACGCAATTTCTGCTCCTGAGAAGAACACCGAGTTCTCTTCTTATTTTTTAAACAAGCCAAAAGAGGTAATACTAATAATCTGGTCCACAGCCACTGATAGCTTCTTTCATTGCTTCAGCACAAGGATGGCAAACAGTCTTAAACCCATCTAAGGAAACTCATTGAAATGAATCAGGTAACAAATAAAAAACATACAGTTTACGCAACAGCATGCAACTAAGAAATCTTCCCTTGACAAAACAATAGGGCCATTGTATTCACCCATCTGAGCAGTCAGTAAACTCTACTAGTCCAGGGCTGTAATGAATTAAAGGCTTTTCTGCAGCAGATACAATTGCTGTTCGTTACTAAGAAAAGCATGTTACTAAGAAAAGCACGTTGTCTGAAATTCTGCAGCACACTAAAGGCACGCGTTCATGTTTCTAGCACAGGCTCAAAACTTACAAAACAGACGAGGGGAAGGCAATTACCAGACTTCAGTGACTCAATTTTCTGCTGATTTCCCCCATTTTGTAGGCTAAAGA